TCAAGATGCCAAAAACTGCTCTTTAAAAATAAAAAATTAAAATAAATAAAATTTAAAAAAATAATTTGAAACTGCAGAGTTGAAAAGCCCACAGAGGGGCTGCTCCCAGTCCCTGCCACCAGAACAATGAAAAATGTTCATATTTGAAGTTAAGATGAATATCCAACATTGGATTGGGGTGTAAGGTGTAAAAAGTCACGATAGCCACAAAATGATCAGTTTTATTTGAACAATATCTGATATTTCTTTTCTGTCACATGAATCTGAGTAAAGCGTAATGCTTTCACAGATAAAAATCAGTCTATACAGCAGCATTATATGAACAACTTGTCTATCACAATTAACCTGATTAAGTAATTAACAGTTGTTTTGATAAACTTACCTATAGACAGGTCGACTGTGGCCACGGCTCCTTTGTCCCCTTGCATTTGGACTTTATCAAAGACAGAAACAACTTTTGCAGGATTCTGGAGTTTAGTCTGCAGATCAGCAAAGAAATCAAACCTGGAGACGAAGCCAAAGTAACTGATCAATGACAAAAACAAAACAAAACAAAACAGTGCATCCATGGAGAGCTTGTACTGGTGACTACAAACTACATCAAATGCCATAACCAAAATATCTATTTGGAGGTTCATTATGCATAAGATACAGCAGTTTAAAAAAAACAAACAAACAAACACAAAACATAAAAATTTACTGCATACAAGTTTCATCCTTTAGAGATGTGACATGTCCTGTCTTTTGTGGGGGTGAGAAAGGCCATGGGCATTGATTTTAGGAAGTCTTCTTATAGCTCATCAGCTACCATCATTACAGCTGCTGATATTGAGATTGTGGAGAGTTACAAGTATTTAGGGGTTGTTCTTGACCTCAAACTGTGTTTTGAGCCTCATGATGATGACACTACCAAAAAAAGCTCAGCAAAGACTGCTCTTCTTAAAGATAATTAGATCTTTTAATGTCTCATCTGAAATGTTCTCCTTGATTTACAGAAGTTTTATTGAATCTGTCATTTCTCTCTGTATTGCTGCTTGGTTTGGTAACATGACTCTGAAGAACAAGAATCGTTTTGGGACTTTTGGTAAAAACTGCCAGCAAAACCTCAGAGCGTTGGCAAGACAGGCTTTTGGCCATGTATAACAAGCATGTGCTGAAGAAGGCTCGCTTTATTGCCAATTGTTACAACCATCCACTTTACAGTGAGTTTGACTTGTTGCCCTCTGGCCATCGTTTCAGAGTACCTGCAAGGAAGACCAAAACAATCCAGGTTGCTTTTATCCCTACTGTAACCCGTTTACTTAATGGCATGTCTTGTGGCTTTTTATCATCGTTTTGTTTATTCTTATTGCTGCTAAACTGATTTCCCCTTGTGGGACAATATAACCAATGTAACCAAAGCAGCCGACGTAAAGTGGCTGCATTCAACACAA